ACTACTACTACTACTACTACTACTACTACTACTACTACTACTACTACTACTACTACTACTACTACTACTACTACTACTACTACTACTACTACTACTAAGCTACTACAGTAGTAACATCAACAACAATAAAAACAACAACATCTGCAACAACAACAACTACAACAAATCCAAAAACAAGAACACATGTATAATAAGAACGAGGAAGACAACAGGAAGAACACACAAAAATCATAATAATGATCATAAAACAAAACAAAAACATTAAGGCACACGACACAAAAAAGACCGTTCCTCCTCAGAACACTGCTGCATTGGACATACATCTGTATTCCTTGAATCTCTGTCTGTAACTGTTACGGGTTATAATAATCATGTAAGTAATACACAGACAAATATCAGGGTACAACAAGGCTTGAGGAAGATTAAGAAAGACCTGGATCGAGGATGTGATGTTAACCCTGAAAACATGCAATATTCCACCTAGCCAGGCCATCAAACTTGCTAGAGACAAAAACCTCTTTCTCGCCTCGATGCCTTAGAGGTACAAGAGGACGGATAAAGTAAAGTAAGTATGCACTATTGGACACTATCATGGATTGAATTATCATTTTTATGCCGATGATTCCCAAATGTATGTTAATGGCACTATTCAAGATCTACCAAACATGATTTCCATCACTAAACAATGTTTTTATGAAATCAAAAAGTGGATGACAGTAAACAAATTGAAACTAAACGAAGAAAAGACAGACATCATTCTTATAAAAAATCCACGATTAAATAAAGATCTGGAAAGTGTCAACTTTGATTTATATGGGCATATGACATCTAGTAAAGAAGTTGTCAGGAATCTCGGTGTATATATTGACCACCACTTATCAATGGGCTCGTTTGTAGGATCTCTGTCCAAATCCCTTTATTTTCAGCTGAGAAGGATAGGCCTAGTTCGAAAGTACTTAAGCGAAGAGACCACAAAAACACTGGTAACATCTCTTATCCTATCTAGATTAGACTATTGTAACTCACTCCTAGCAGGTCTGAACAACAAATATTTGAATCGTTTACAAGTAATTCAAAACAATGCCGCTAGACTGATAACAAGATCTAAAAAACGAGACCATGTCACTCCATTATTAAAAGAACTGCATTGGCTCCCTGTAAAAGAACGAATAATATTTAAAATCTGCGTCATGTGTTTCAAATGTGTAAATAAAACTGCTCCTTTTTATCTACAAGAACTTATCAGTATATATAAACCAGGGAGAAACCTAAGATCATCGAACGATAACACCCTACTTGTGACACCTGTAAAATCATACAAATCATATGGAGAGAGATCTTTCTCATATCTTGGTCCATTTATGTGGAACAGATTACCCATGAAACTAAGACAAATAAGAACACGTGATAGCTTCAAAAGACATCTTAAACATTTTCTGTTCCTACAGGCCTATCCTTCATAAGCTTTTAACGTTATCTTTCATTATATTTGTTCTTTTCCTATGTCTGGATGAAAATAGTCTCTGTGTGTGTGTGTGTGTGTGTGTGTGTATGTGTGTGTGTGTGTGTGTGTGTGTGTGTGTGTGTGTGTGTGTGTGTGTGTGTGTGTGTGTGTGTGTGTGTGTGTGCATTAATGTATATTGCTTGAGAAGAAAGGAAGTAGTAAGAAAGGTTTTTGAAAAATGGGTATTCCAATGTAAAGCGCATTGAGCTACTTTTTTTGGAAATGCGCTCTATAAATGTTATATATTATTATTATTATTATTATTATTATATTATGCACCTTTTTTACCAATCAGATGGCGTCAATCTCATAGAAATGGACAAGGGACAAAAAATACTGTGTTTTCAAGCACTCACGGGCTGGAAGGGACATTTGCAGGTATAGCCAAGTTTGGCGTCAATCTCATAAAAATGGGCAAGGGACAAAATATACACTGTTTTCAAGCACTCACAGGCTGGAAGGGGCATTTGCAGGTATAGCCAAGTTGGACGTATTCCTGTGGACATGTGGATGACTCCAGCGTGGGACAAATGTCGTCAATGATACAGGGGCCGGTGAGGGTAGAACAGGGGACCACCTCGCCCTCCTCCAGTTCGGAGACTTTGGCGATAGATATGGCGAGCTGAAACAGGACGGAAATGTGTCACGACGCGGTGGAATCAGGCGCTTGTCAATTTTGGGGCATGTGGAGTTATTGGTATCATCTTAATTAAAGCTTGTTTGGTTTGTCTAGTCTTTGGGGAAAAAAATACTCATCTATCATAAACAAAACTAGAAATATTTGCAATTTAAAAATGTGGGTTTCGCTTGGTTTCAGAGGTCACACTAGCAAGAATATTATGGCCTCCAAACTTTGGTTACTTCCTATGTTTGAGAGTCCTTGGAAACTGCAGATTTACCTGTTTTGTGCTTAAATCAACAAGGGAGGGGGGGGTTCAGTCAAATCCACCCAAGGTGTTTTTATAAATGTATCTTAAAGGTGTTAAATCAGAAAACAAAAATTGGATAAAAATTGTCAAAAGGGAAGAAAAACGCATGTGTCTTTGATTTCATATTTTTGGCGAGTGCCTGCTTTCACCACGAACCCTCACAAATAATTATTGTTATAATACATCTATTTTGCAGAGGAAGAAATGATTATATCACATTCGAAATTGTCTCAGACGGTTACTAGTTGTCGAGGGGTAAAATGGTCGTTTTCAACAGGTCATTATCACACAGTGCCGTTATAATGTAAAAAAAAAAAATACACGTGGGGTTGGGCGGGGGGTCGTTTGTACAAGTACAACGGAGTGTCTAAAACAGATGGCAGTTCCAACAGGTTCGATTTATTCAGTTGGATATTGAGACATGTCTTTCTGGTTATCTTGTTCTCTATCTGTCTCGGTGCCTGTCTCTGTCTCTGTCTCTGTCTCTGTCTCTGTCTGTCTCTCTCTCTCTCTCTCTCTCTCTCTCTCTCTCTC